ATAGGAAAAGTAAAACTCTGACCATGTATATGGTTTAAAATAGCAAATTTGAGGTGTTTTCTTGGATGTTATTTTGGTTTTATTGGCTGTTTCATGGCATCATTTGGTAGAATGGAAGACATCCTACTTGAAATAGAGATGATTTATTTTGGGTGGTTTTAGGTCTGGAGATAGCTTGAAAATGAGCTCAAAGTAGCAGAAATATTTGATTTTTACCAATTTTCCTGAGGACAGGGGATGAGTAAGGCCTCTCTACTCCCCCAGTCTGTTTTATGGGTTTTTAATAGGTCTGATTTAATTATTGGGACACCATAAACCATGATTAATAATTTCTGGCTTATTTTATTATCTGGGACATAGAGAAAATCTTTTATTTTTGTGTGATTATGAATACAAAATGGAAGACATGTAATGTAGGAGAGGCCTGCGGATGTTGTTATAGTGCCTGGAATGTCTACTTTTTTTTTTTTTTTTTTTTTTTTTTTTTTTTTGTGTGTGTGTGTGTGTAAAATTGGCACTTTATAGAGTAGTAGTTGCAATAGTTGAATGGGCAGTTTCTTGTCCCAGATCGATAAAATGGAAGGCATACTAGTGAAATAGCTAAGAATTTGGTCAAATGAAGCAGTGCAGTTGGCTTAAAATATGACACAAATTGGGTGAAATTGCCAATGCGAAAATTATGTAAGGATTATACGTAAGCATTCAGCGATTATCTTAAAATCTAATTTGTCAGTAATGATTTTTGTCTTTCACAGTAGACTCCTTCATATCACATGGGTTACATTCCTATACTTGATATTGTGTGTAATATTGCAATACATGAGGTGAAGAATAAGTAGGAAAAATAGGGTTGCTTTTCTGACACCTCCACAAAAGCCACTAAAATTTTGTTTCAGTTTCTAAATTTGTAAAAAATGATAAGGGATTTGATTTCATTCATTATAGGTGTCGTTGCTTGTTAATCTAGAAATGTGTGGCAAGGGTTGATGTTACCCTGCTAGGCCTGGTTGGATGTACTGAGGCTTAGACAGTCAAAAAGAAGGGTATATGCAGCTAAAATGGTTTTGTAAAACAATATTTTTTATCTAAAATTCTGGTTACTGGTGAATGTTGATCATGACATCGGTGAAGAAGGTTGCTATGGTCCTACTGGGCTGAGGTAGATGGCTGTGGTGCATTTTTAAAACTGCTAAACCATCAAGAAAGCAGGCTTTCCTTCCTGTTCACATTCTTGGTTTATAGTACATTCTTTTTAGCAGACCAATCTGGATTATGATGATTCACTTGCACAAATTCTTACCTTCACCTCATTTTCTTGAATTTAAAGAAAGTTGATTCTCTAACTTGAAATATATGGACTATCTATATGTCCTGCTCATTGCCTTCGTGCATATGAATTGCCCTTGCATATGAACTGCCCTGAGGTTGTCAAAACATGCATAGATTTATGCTTAAACATCTTGGCACTTTCAGCATCACTAGGTTTTTTTTTTTTTTTTGGCCACATATCTAGAGATGAGACAGGGTAATGAAAAGGTTTAAAATGGAGTGATAAACACAAGAGAGTATGGTATGGGACACATTCAGAAAGCAACTAACCACATGGGTGGGCATGTACACCAAGGTGCTAAGCTAGGACTCACCCTAAAATGCAGGCCTTGCTCTAGGCACAAAGGGAAAATCTGCTGTGCAGTCAAGCCTAATTCCACACAAACAGTAATTTTCACTCCAAACTTTATGGCACTAACATGCAATCAGTTCTATCAAGGGTGATCTTGGAAACAAAATTTTATCTGTGATGTTTTGATGATGTGATTTGCAATAGCGTGAAATACAAGAGTCTACCTTATTTAATTTTTTTCAAGTGACTCGTCCAAACAAGTTCACTAATCAGTGGATTAAGTTCAATGTGTGTTGATTAATTACCCAGAAATTTGTGAAAACAAAAATTACTTAGTCTCCTTAGGTTCCATAAATTAAGAGTGGAGATCCAATACTTCTTTCCTTGCTATAAATATGGGCAACTTTGACAGTGCTGTGTGACAAACTTAATTAACACATCTATATTCTTCAATAGAGCTGTTTTGATAGATTTATCAAACATGATCTCGTAAATCCTTCGTATTCAAGAATAAAAATACATGGTGTTTGTTTACTTCTGATTGTGCCTTTTGCTTCTGTACATCTTGATGTTATTCTATTATTTGTTAGTCTCATTTTAAGTATTGAAGATGTGTATTCTGTGCATGGCATTATGACATGCTACAGTGTATGCATTGTGAATATCACTGTTTACTGTAATGTCTCCTCAGATATTTCTCAGAAGTGTATGGCAAAGTTGTCCTTACTAAGACTCGTCATGTTGCAGGTACAGGTAAGATTGTTGCCAGAGCTTTGCTTGATGAGTTACATGAGAAGAGGAGACCACCCATACTGATCTCCATTCAAGGAAGTCTTAGTGCACTTTGAAATTGTAACTCTTTGTCCCCCCCTCATAACTAGCTCTGATATGTTAAAATACTTTCAAGTGGCTTGGTATTACTCTTAGTCATTCAGAAGGATAATTTAAGGAGGCAATGAGTAAAGCATGAAGTAGGAATGTGACAACAATTGCTTGATGAAGACAGAAGCCATTTGGATTACAACATTCCTCAGTATCTTGCAAAACTGCAGGATGAGCGTTGATATACTTGACATATCAGGGTGTACAGAATACTGTATATTAACTATTACTATATGTATAGTATCTTTGTTGAAAATGCTGATCCATTTTTTACGCAAATTGTGTTTTGAAAGATGATTCAATATTTTTTTGTGTGTAGAACATATGTTTCTTGAAATGTTTTAGATTTCCTTCTGACTATTGAAGAAAAAATGGTATATGTATGGAAGTAAATGATGTACATCGCCAAATTTAAACTGCATGGCAATAATGCTTATATTCGATTTTTGTTTATAAATTAGAATGGATGTATTCTCCACTACATTTGATGTGTATGGACTCAATAACCTTGCTTTCCAGTGTCTTAAATTGATGGGTAGATGACTGTAGGTCTTGTGTTTGTATTAGTTGTCTCCTGCTCCACTGTCTTTACAAAAATATGTCCAGTGTTGTATGTTTTTGTCTGTATTGTAGTGATGATTCAGTAGTTTCTATACTACAGTAGCATTACTGAAATTACTGTAGCACAATTTATGTAGTCTTTTCAGTGTTGAGACTAAAATAATGATACTGCCAACTTGTCATTGCCAAAGAAGAATAAAGGAGAAAAAGGAAGACAATGAATAGAGAGTAATAAATAAAACTTAAATAATTGGGAAATTGTAAGAAAATGGAATATTTAAGAGAAGATTTGTTATGTTCACAGGAATCGAACATAGGAAAAATTGACTAATGAAATGATAAATTTGTACACTTATACTTGCCAGTTTGTTTTTGCAAGGGTCAAGACAGCTCCTGGACCTGTCTCTTGAAATATATTAATTATCATCACTGATTCCTGTTATTCTTTGCTTTGTTGTACCCTTTCTTGAATCTGTGTAAGTGGTTTGCCCTCCACCATTTCCTTGTATTGGTCATTCACCTTCCCTTACACTAAAATTGAATAAGTACAGTATTTTCTAATTTCCCCCATGTCTCTTCTACATTTTTACTTTTCAGTTCGTCATGTCTCCTCTAGTCATTTACTCTTCCAGTGTCATTAAGTTGAATACATGTCAGTTTCTCCTTGTGTCTGTGTATATTGAGAATAATATATGCATGTGTTTGTGTAAGCATGGTTGGCCGCTTGGTGGCAAATTAAACTTGATGTTGTACATTAATTATCAGTAATAATGTACTGTGATATAAACTTATAAGATATGACTTACGTATGAGAATTTACTGGATTACTGAGATTTCTGAGGGTTATTTGGTATGGCCTATGGCCGTATGTGTGGTAGTTTTTGAAGCTATGGGACTCTGTTATCTTTGAAGTTTATCAGTAAAATTATACTAAAACATTTTAATGACATGAATATATAGGGGCTTGTGAATATACATATTAGAGATAGGACTGTTCCAAAATTTTTGCCAATGCAGTACTGATACCGATGCTCATTAGAGAGTAACAAAATTTTGGTAATGAAAGATTGAATAAGAGAGAGGAAGGAAGAGAGTATGGAGGAAGCAAATGTGTCTATTATATTGAGGGTTTCTTGTACTTACTATTCTTACACCTGACCTCCTTTTTTATCCCAGTGGCAATCCAAGCATGCAGTGTGGCACTTGATACACTCCATGCCTTTTATCCTGGTGCTTCTCTTCAGTTATCCTTTACAGCAGTGGTTCTTAACCTGTTTTGGGTTGCACCTCCAATCACAGTTAGCCCTCATCTCCACACCGTTCTCCTTTCTTCCTATAAAATTTTAAATGTAAAAATTAAAAAAAATCCTCCTTCTTTAAATAGGAAAATTGAAAAACTAGTTTTAATTCTTAACTTTATTATTTTAACTATTCAGAAGAATCTATTTAAGAAGCAACTCTCAAATATGCAATATATAAAGTGAAGTGGGATTTTTGACATTGCTTCTGAGCTGCCAGATCCAGAATATGTGGGCAGGTGCCAGAGAGAGAGCACAGTGCAAGTCTCCTTCAACATTCAGTTTACTTCTGTATTTGGTCTTGACAGCAACCAGCTTGAAGTGAGAACACAATCTCACCAGGATAAAAATATAAGGTTTACCTAAATTTAGTCACTTTTAGTGGAATTTCACACAGTGATAATTCTGCAATAATAATGTGCAGTTGTGGATTACAGTCTAGATTAACTTGTAAATTTTATTCTACCATTCATTCAGTTAACAGTTTTTTTTGTAAGTGGATGAATTTGTGTGAGTTTTGGGCATGTTGGAGATTTAGACTTTCGTGGTATTTTAGCAACTACTGTATGTACACATGATCATGAATACTCATAGTACGTGTGTTTTGCTTTAATGTAATTATTCTTTTGAAATTTCAGATACATCAAGTACAGATGTTGATACTGATGTCCTAGTGAATATCACATCGGGTAAAGTTCGGCTACTTTTTGAAATGCCATTCAGTCAACGTACAAATACTTTCGTCTCGGAAGTTTTAAGAGCTGCTGAAGGTAAGTATTTATATTTTCTAATTGATTAAGTTTTGTCCTGGGTCTTTCCCTTAAGTGAGTGGTCTCTAGGTACATAATCCCTGCAGTCATGGAGGCTTCATTGTACTACAGTCTTTAATGTACATGGGTGTACCTTAAGTGCAGGCATGTACATGAGTCAGGTTTTTTATGGGTGATGTTTGCTGTTACAACAGCAAATTAACTAATCTGCCTATAGAATAAAAATAGTACTTAACCCTTTGAGGGTTTCAGACATACTAGTACGGCTTACGACCCAGGGTTTTTGATGTACTAGTACGCCTAAATTCTAGCGCCCTCAAATCTAGCGAGAGAAAGCTGTTAGGCATACATATGAAAGAATGGGTCTGTGTGGTCAGTGTGCGCAGTATAAAAAAAATCCTGCAGCACACAGTGCGTAATGAGAAAAAAAAACTTTGAGCGTGTTTTTGGAATAAAACAGAGAATTTGCACTGTATTTTCGTATGGTATTTATTGTTGTATACTAGTATCTTGGTCTCATTTTATGGAATGGAAGACATATTACAAGAATTGAGATGATTTTGACTGGTTTTACAATGAAAAGTACCTTAAAATTGAGCACAAAGTAGCAGAAATGTTCGATTTTTATCAAAGTTCAGAAGTAAACAAATCATGCCAGGCGTCCAATACACGTCAACTGGTGAGTCTAATATTCTTTCACAAGTGCGCTGATATTATTTATACCATTTCTACACTAATGCAGCAGTCTGCATAACAGTAAATCTTCTATTTTTTATAATAATAAAAATTCAAAGTGGAAAGCCAAAGAAATATAAGAGGGGCCTGGGGATGTTACTAACGAACAGAGAACTTGTTATTTTAGTGCCAGGAATGTCTTTCTTGTTTATACTGGACCCTATTTGGAAATTGGCATCTTTTGAAATTTGTGTGAAATTGGCAAAATTGCTAAATTCTGACCACTTTATTGGATAGTTGAAACTGGTAAATGGGTGGTTTCTTGTACTCATTCAATAGAAAAAAATGGAGTTCTAGCGAAATAGTTATGATTTTTGTCGACTAGTACATTGGAATTGGCCGAAAATAGGGCTCAAAGTGGGCAAAATCGCCGATGCGTAAACATAGTCGAGACTGCTAACTTCGCGAGAGCATAATTCCGTAAGTTTTCCATCAAATTTCATACTTTTGGTGTCAATATGATCGGGAAAAGATTCTCTATCTTTTCGTAAGAAAAATAATTTTTTTTTTTTTTAAATTTGGCCGACCCTGAGAACAAGTTTCGGAGAGGGCCTGTCGACCCTCAAAGGGTTAATAAATGCATTTTCAGAAACTGTAGATAATGCACTTGAATTACTGGAGATGAACCTAAATTTTTTTCCCCTTTCTCTACAGTGATACATAATGCTGTACAGAAGTATACATTTACAAACTGTTTATAATAACATCTTTATATTAAGTAGGATCCTAGGTAGTAAGTTGGTAGACAGCAACTGCCCAGGGAGGTACTACCATCTTGCAAAGTGAGTGTACATTGGAAGACTGTAATTGTTTTACATGATGGTAGGATTGCTGGTGTCTTTTTTTCTGGCTCTTAAACATGCAAGATTTCAGGTATGTCTTGCTACTTCTACTTACACTTAGGTCACACTACACATGCATGTACACACATATATTTACACACCCCTCTGAGTTTTCTTCTATTTTCTTACTAGTTCTTGTTCTTGTTTATTTCCTCTTATCTCCATGGGGAAGTGGAATAGAATTCTTCCTCTGTAATCCATGCGTGTTGTAAGAGGCAACTAAAATGCTGGGAGCAAGGGTCTAGTAACCCCTTCTCCTGTACACATTACTAAAGTTAATAAGAGGAACTCACTTTTTTTCTTTTTGGGCAACCCTGCCTCGATGGGATATGGCTGGTGCATTGAAATAAATAAATAAATACATATGCGTGCACACCAGTCAACAATCAAGGACCAGGTAATCAGACTGAGGAAGGGTGATGGGGAGTTCACAAGAAACGCCCGAGAGGTATGCGAGGAGCTCAACACGAGATTTAAAGAAGTATTTACAGTGGAAACCAGTAGGACTCCAGGAAATCAGAACAGGGGGGTACACCAACAAGTGCTGGATGAGGTACACATAACCAAGGAGGAGGTGAAGAAGCTGCTATGTGAACTTGACACCTCAAAGGCGGCGGGAACAGACATCTCTCCGTGGGTCCTTAGAGAGGGAGCAGAGATGCTGTGTGTGCCATTAACAAAGATCTTCAACACATCCATTGAAACTGGGCAACTCCCTGAGGTATGGAAGCTGGCAAATGTAGTCCCAATTTTTAAAAAGGGAGACAGACATGAGGCATTAAACTATAGACCTGTATCACTAACGTGTATAGTATGCAAAGTCATGGAGAAGATCATCAGAAAGAGAGTGGTGGAGCACCTGGAAAGAAACAAGTGTATAATTGACAACCAGCATGGTTTCAGGAAAGGAAAATCCTGTGTCACAAACCTACTGGAGTTTTATGACAAGGTGACAGAAGTAAGTCAAGAGAGAGACGGGTGGATCGACTGCATTTTTTTGGACTGCAAGAAGGCCTTTCACACAGTTCCTCACAAGAGGTTATTGCAAAAGCTACAGGATCAGGCACACATAACAGGAAAGGCACTGCAATGGATCAGAGAATACCTGACTGGGAGGCAACAAGAAGTCATGGTACGTGACGAGGTGTCAGAGTGGGCGCCTGTGACAAGCGGGGTTTCACAGGGGTCAGTCCTAGGACCTGTGCTGTTTTTGGTATATGTGAATGACATAACGGAAGGGATAGACTCAGAAGTGTCCTTGTTTGCAGATGATGTGAAGTTAATGAAAAGAATCAAATCGGATGAGGATCAGGCAGGACTACTAAGAGACCTGGACAGGCTACAAGCCTCGTCCAGCAACTGGCTCCTTGAGTTTAACCCTGCCAAATGCAAAGTCATGAAGATTGGGGAAGGGCAAAGAAGACCCCAGACACAATATAGTCTAAATGGCCAAATTCAAATTCAATTCAAATTCAAAGTTTATTCTCTATAAAGATTACAATGTTGAATTTACAGAATTTGGTTGTTGTGTGGTTTACATGTAGTTAAATAATGATTACAGAGTGTACCACTAGAACGCCTAGCATGGCTAGGCATTTCGGGCAGACTTAGTTTAATTCTTTATTTTAAAATATTACAAATTATGAGGTAAGTTGGTATTATGGCTAAGTGACTAAATACTAGTTTGTGAGTTTAGCAATGTGAATGCTTTTGTTTTGGCACAGTACATAGTTTCAGTATTGGAGTATCATAGGATTCATTATTTTAAGATTGAGATTAATATTTCTGTTTATGGTCAAATGGGTGAGTGAGTGTAAGTGTGAACCACCAGGTGGTATTCGTGTAGTTAGTTGATGGGGTTTATCAGGGAGATAAGATGTTTTCTAATGGTAGTTTTGAAGGTGATGAATGTGTCTGCAGTTCTAGAGTTCTCAGGTAGGGTGTTCCAGATTTTAGGGCCTTTGACATACATTGAATTTTTGTAAAGGTTTAGTCGGACATGGGGAATGTCGTAGAGATGTTTGTGTCTGGTGTTATGCCTGTGGGTTCTGTCACAACTATCAAGAAAGCGTTTTAGGTCAAGGTTGATATTGGAGTTTAAGGTCCTGTAGATGTAGATTGCACAGTAGTAAGTGTGGATGTACTGAACAGGGAGTAAGTTTAGATTTATGAAGAGTGGGGGGCGTGTGTTGCCAGGGATGGGATTTAGTGATTATTCTTACTGCAGCTTTTTGTTGGGTTATTATTGGCTTTAGGTGTGTTGCTGCAGTTGATCCCCAAGCACAAATAGCATAGGTGAGGTATGGATAAATAAGTGAGTGGTATAATGTGAGAAGGGCATTTTGCGGCACGTAGTATCGTATCTTGGAGAGGATCCCAACTGTTTTGGATACTTTTTTGGTTATGTGTTGGATATGGGTGCTGAAATTCAGGTTGTTGTCAAGGTATAGGCCTAGGAATTTGCCCTCATTATGTCTGGTAATTAGAGTGTTGTCAATCTTAATGTTAATTTGTGCATCTCCTGCTCTGCTACCAAACATAATATAGTAGGTTTTGTCAGTGTTAAGCGTAAGTTTATTGGCTGTCATCCAAGTCGATATTTTGATCAGCTCCTCGTTAACAATGGTGTTGAGGGTGGCAAGATTAGGGTGAGAGATGACATAAGTCGTGTCGTCAGCAAAGAGAATGGGTTTCAGGTGTTGGGATACGTTTGGAAGATCATTGATGTATATGAGGAAGAGCAGGGGACCAAGGACACTTCCCTGCGGAACTCCAGTATCAAGTGACCGTGTTGTTGATGCTGTGTCTTTAACGGTAACATACTGATACCTATTAGTAAGGTAAGATTTGAAATAAGCAAGCGCATGGTCTCTTATAACGTAATGGTCAAGTTTGTGGAGTAGGATGTCGTGGTCTACTGTGTCAAAAGCTTTTCTTAGGTCAATAAAAATTCCTAGTGGATATTCCTTATTTTCCAATGCTGTGTAAAGCAGATCTATCATTTTTATGATTGCATCATTAGTGCTTTTATTTTTCCTAAATCCAAATTGGCAGGGGTTGAGTATGTTTTGTGCTGTTATAAATGAATATAGTCTCCTGTGCACGAGTTTTTCAAAGATTTTGGATAGCAATGGTAAGTTTGATATTGGCCTATAGTTGTTTAAGTCTGTAGGGTCACTCAAGGAAAAAGATCTGGGGGAGAGTATAACACCGAGCATATCTCCTGAGGCGTACATCAATCAGATAACTGCTGCAGCATATGGGTGTCTGGCAAACCTACGGATAGCGTTCCGATACCTCAGTAAGGAATCGTTCAAGACTCCGTATACCATTTACATCAGGCCCATACTGGAGTATGCAGCACCAGTTTGGAATCCACACCTGGTCAAGCACGTCAAGAAATTAGAGAAAGTGCAAAGGTTTGCAACAAGACTAGTCCCAGAGCTAAGGGAATTGTCCTACGAAGAAAGGTTGAGGGAAATCGGCCTGACGACACTTGAGGACAGGAGGGTCAGGGGAGACACGATAATGACATATAAAATACTGCGCGGAATAGACAAGGTGGACAAAGACGGGATGTTCCAGAGATGGGACACAGAAACAAGAGGTCACAATTGGAAGTTGAAGACTCAGATAAATCAAAGGGATGTTAGGAAGTATTTCTTCAGTCATAGAGTAGTCAGGCCGTGGAATAGCCTAGAAAGTGACGTAGTGGAGGTGGGAACCATACATAGTTTTAAGGCAAGGTTTGATAAAGCTCATGGAGCAGGGAGAGAGAGGACCTAGTAGCAATCAGTGAAGAGGCAGGGCCAGGAGCTATGACTCAACCCCTGCAACCACAAATAGGTGAGTACACACACACACACACACACACACACACACACACGAATCAAAGGGATGTTAGGAAGTATTTCTTCAGCCACAGAGTAGTTTGGGAAGCAATGTAGTGGAGGCAGGATCCATGCATAGCTTTAAGCAGAGGTACGATAAAGCTCATGGTTCAGGGAGAGTGACCTAGTAGCGACCAGTGAAGAGGCGGGGCTAGGAGCTTGGACTCGACCCCTGCAACCTCAACTAGGTGAGTACAACTAGGTGAGTATACACACACACACACACACACACACACACACACACACATGGTTCTGAGAATAGTTGTGTGTGGCAAGCACACACACAACTATTCTCAGAACCATACAACCCATCACACCATCCCAACACACACTACAATCCATACCCACAGCCTCCACCCAACACCGAGCTATAGAATCCCACAGTATGCTACCAGGTCTCCCACCCACACAAGCCCCCCAAACCAGAGTGTTGGAAAGGAAACTGAAGGTTTGGTACACAAACGCTGATGGAATAACAAATAAGTGGGAGGAGTGGCATGAAAGAGTCAAAGAGGCATCACCGGACATCATAGCTCTCACAGAAACCAAGCTTACAGGTATGATAACAGATGCCATCTTTCCAATGGGATACCAAATCCTGAGGAAAGACAGAGGGAACAGGGGGGGGTGGAGGAGTGGCATTGCTGATCAAAAATCGCTGGAATTTTGATGAGCTGGAGAGAGGAGACAGCGGAGAAGAAAGTGATTACATAGCGGGAACGCTTCAATCCGGAGGTCCCAAGGTGGTAATAGCAGTGATGTGTAACCCACCACAGAACAGCAGGAGGCCAAGGCAAGAGTACGATGAGAGCAGTAGAGCGATGGTTGACACACTGGCTACAGTGGCCAGAAGAGCTCATGCATGCAGGGCAAAGCTCCTGATCATGGGTGACTTGAACCACAAGGAGATCGATTGGGAGAATTTGGACCCGCATGGGGGCCAAAATACATGGAGGGCTAAGATGATGGAGGTGGTACTGGAAAACTTCATGTACCAACACGTAAGGGACACTACAAGAGAGAGAGGAGAGGATGAACCAGCAAGGCTGGACTTAGTATTCACCTTGAGTAGTGCAGATATTGAGGACATCACATATGAAAGACCCCTTGGGGCCAGTGACCATGTGGTTTTAAGCTTCGAATACACAGTAGAGCTACAAGTGGAGGCCTCTTCAAGGGGGGCTCCTTGGTGTGGTGAAGAGGCTCTTGGTCTGAGGAATTAGACCTGTCGGTCTACTTCCTCAGACCGAACCTAATTACCCCCCAATCCCCGAAATGTTGTACAGCACATCAGGAGGAAAAACAACAGGTAAGGAACCAGGTCAATAGGCTAAGGAAAGGAAGGAGGAGAGACAACAAGACATGACCGTGAAGTTTGTGGGACTCAAAAGAGATTCAAAGAAGTGTTCACGAGGAGACAGAAGGTGCTCCTGAACGATGGAGAGGTGGGGCACATCACCATGTGCTGGACACAGTGCACCAACCGAGGAGGAAGTGAAGAGGCTTCTGATGGCTAGAGACCTCAAAGGCAATGGGCCAGATAAAACATCTCCCATGGGTATTGAGAGAGGGGAGCAGAGGCGCTATGTGTACCCCTAAACAACATATTAATACATCTATCGAAACAGGGAGTGCCAGAGGCATGAGAAGGCTGCAAATGTAGTCTCCAATCTTTAAAAAAAGGCGACAGACATGTAAGCATTAAACTACAGACCCAGTGTCAGACATGTATGTATGCAAAATCATGGAGATAAGTTATCAGGAGAAGAGTGGTGGAACACCTAGTAAGGAAATGATTCATCACCCGCAGCCAACATGGTTTAGGGACGGGAAATCCTGTGTCACAATCCTACTTGGAGTTCTTATGACATGGTGACAGCAGTAGACAAGAGAGAGATGGGGTGGGTGGATTGCATATTCTTGGACTGCAAGAAGGCGTTTGACACAGTTCCACACAAGAGATGGTGCAAAAACTGGAGGACCAGCAGGGATAACAGGGAAAGGCACTACAATGGATCAGGGGAATACTTGACAGGGGAAAAAAAAAAAAAAAAAAAAAAAAAAAAAAAAAAAAAAAAAAACAAAAAAAAACAAGGACAGCAGCGGATCATGTACATGGCGAGGTGTCAGAGTGGGGCACCTGTGTCCAGCGGGTCCACAGGGGTCAGTCCTAGGACCAGTGCGGTTTCTGGTATTTGTGAAGGAACTATGACGAAAGGAATAGACTCTGAGGTGTCTCTGTTTGCGATGACGGTGACGTTGATGAGTAGAATTCACAAGATCGAAGACAGGTAGAAACTACAACGGGATCTGGACAGGTTGCCAGACCTGGTCCAGCAATGGTCCTGGAGTACAAATCACCAAGTGCAAAGTCTGAAGATTGGGAAGGGTAAAGAGAACACAGACGGAGTACTGTATAGGTGGCCAGAGACTACAAACCTCACTCACGGAAAAAGTCTTGGGGAGAGTATAACACCAGGACATCTGAAGAGCACATCAAACCAAATAACGGGCTGCAGATATGGGCGCCTGCAAACCTCAGAAACAGCATTCCAACATTTAATAAGGAAATCGTTCAGGGACCCTGTACACCGTGTACGTTAGGCCCTTATTGGAGTCTGCAGGCACCAGTTTGGAACCCAACTAGCCAAGCCGTAAAGAAACTAGAGAAAGTGCAAAGGTTTGCAACAAGGGACTCTCCCAGAGCTAAGAGGTATGTCCACATGGAGAGGTAAGGGAAATAAATGACTCGCATATAGGACAGGAGAGATAGGGGGGACATGATAACGACTACAAAGTTACTGAGAGGAATTGACAAGGGGTGGAACAAAGTACAGGATGTTCAGAGTTGGACACAGTAATCAAGGGGACACAGTTTGAAGTTGACAGACACAGATGAATCAAGGGATGTTAGGAAGTATTTCTTCAGCCACAGAGTAGTCAGTTAAGTGGAATTATTTTGGGAAGGATGTAGTGGAGGCAGGACCAATACATAGCTTTAAGCAGAGGTTATGATAAAGCTCCACAGTGCGGGGAGCATGACCTGTATGCGATCAGTGAAGAGGCGGGGCCAGGAGCTCGGACTCCACCCCCGAACCTAAGCTAGGTGAGTACAACTAGGTGAGCACACAACCACACTCCACCACACACACACTCACACACACACAACACACACACACACAACACACCAAACAAAACACACACACACACACAAAACACACACACAACACACACACACACACGACCACTGGAGGACAGGAGGGGTCAGGGGAGGACATGATAACGACATTATAAAATACTGCGTGGAATAGGGACAAGGTGGACAAAGGACTGGATGTTCCAGGGAGGGGACACCAGAAACAAGAAGGCCACAATTGGGAAGATGAAGACACAAATGAGTCCAGAGAGATAGTAGGACGTTTTCTTCAGTCATAGCGTTGTTAGGGCAGTTTAATAGCTAGAAAATGACGTAGTGGAGGCAGGAACATACACAGTTTAAGACGAAGGTTGACTAAAGCTCATGGAGCGGGGAGAGAGAGGGCTCTAGTTAGCAAGGTGAGAGGCGGGGCCAGGGAGCTAGGAATGACCCTGCAACCACAAAGATAGGTGAGTAACAAATAGGTGAGTACACACACACAACACCCACACTCAACTCACCTCACTCACTCACTTCTCTCACTCACTCTTCACTCACTTCTCTCACCTCTCACTCTTCACTCTCTCACTTCTTCACTCCTCTCTCACTCTCTTCACTCACTTCTCTCACTCTATCACTCTCTCACTCTCTCACTACTTCATCACTTCTCACTCTACTCATCTCTCACTCTCTCACTCTCTCACTCTCTCACTCTCTCACTCTCTCACCTCTCTCACTCTCTCACTCTCCACTCTCTCCACTCATCTCTCACTTCTCTCAACTCCTCCACTCTCTCTCTCTCTCTCATCTCTCTCTCTCTCTCTCTCTCTCTCCTCTCTCTTTCATCTCTCTCTCTTCTTTCTCTCTCTCTCTTTCTTCTCTCTCTTTCTTCTCTCTCTCTCTCTCTCTCTCTTCTCTCTCTCTCTCTCTCTCTCTCTCTCTCGCTCTTCTCCTTCCCTCCTCTCCCTCCCTCCTTCTTCCCTCCCCACCCTGCCTCAGTGGTTATGGACGGTTTGATGAAAAAAAAATTTAAGTAGGATACTACTTAATGCTGTTCTTGAGTTTTATGTAAACAAAATAAATCACCAGTATATGTATAGTTTATAGAGGTTCTAAATTACATTCAGTAATATTTAGAGTTTTATATTCTCTTTAAAAGTTGTCAATTACATTTTCAGTTATCAGTAAGCGCCGTGGGCCACCTCCAGAATTTACCTGGCTGCTACCATATCATCAGAGCTCATCCAGCAATACCAGTGCAAGAGAGACAGCAGACATGAGGCTCTCTGTGCCAGCTACTTGTTCAGATGGTGTGGCTGGTGATGCAGTCAGCCCACGTGATGTTAGTGTGGATGTTGCACAGATCCCACCTACACCTTACCTTGACCCTGCTCTCAGTAATGCTGACAACAGTAGTTTGCATGTACGTTGCTAAAAATGCTTGTATCTAGACAAATAGAAGCCACAATACTGTAACTGGAACAGTTGACAATTAACCCAATGTTTGGAGAGAAAACTTAAAGATAATATTTTGGCCCATTCTGGACAATTGTCAAGGTGTGACTCAGTGATGGTCTAGGACAGACTAAAATGTAGAAGAATTAGACACATGTATAGTACTAGGTATCTTTATAAAGATACCCAGGTGCTACATATATGTTGAATTCATTAACTTTCAATATTTTGTACCATTAATTTACTGAAACATTGGCTAAAAGTTTTCTCTCTAAATTAGTGACTTATTGTGAATTGTGAGCTATAATGTTGTTGGTAAAAGCTTCAAATTTTTTTTTTTTTTAGATTTTAATGTGGCTTTTTGTATATTAAAATATGAAACTTATATAATTTAAGTAGGAAAACTGGAAGTGAATGTTTTTTTACTGTTTGGCTTAAACTCAGTAGAGGTTGTGTATAGGACACAAAAACCCATTAATATCATTGACCCTTTGAGGGTCGACAGGCCCTCTCCAAGACTCGTTCTCAGGGTCGGCCAAATTTAAAAAAAAAATTATTTTTTCTTATGAAAAGATAGAGAATCTTTTCCCGATCATAGTGGGACACCAAAAGTATGAAATTTTGATGTAAAAAACTTCCGGAATTATTGCTCTCGCGAAGTTCAGCGGTTCGACGATGTTTACACATTGGCGATTTTGCCACTTTTGAGCCCTATTTTCGCCAATCTCAGAGTACTAGCAACATAAATCATAAAACTGCTTCTCTAGATACTCTATTTGTTCTAATTGATTGAGTACAAGGAACAAACCATTTACTGATTTCAACTATCCAATACTGAGAGTATCAGAATTTAGAAATTTTGCCATTTTCACACAAATTTCTAAAGATGCCAATTTCAAATAGGGTCCAGAATAAACAAGAAAGGACATTTCTGGCACTAAAATAACATTTCCTCTATTCGTTAGTCACATCCCCAGGCCCTCTTATATTCTTTTGGTCTTTCCAGTTTCAATTTTTTATCTTACAAAAATAGAAAGGATTTACTGTTATGCAGGATGCTGCCTTTAGAGTAGAAATGGTATAATAATATCAGTGCCCTTGTGAAAGAAATATTTGATACTCACCAGTTGAGTGTATTGGACGCTTGGATGATTGTTTACTTTTGAACTTTGGTAAAAAATCGAAATTTCTGTACTTTGAGCTCAATTTTTCATGATTACTTTTCATTGTAAAAACCAGTCAAAATCATCTCAATTTCTGTAAATTTGTCTTCCATTCTATAAATGAGACAAGAAAACTAGAATACAACAATAAATTCCTACGAAAATACAGTGCAAAGTTGCTGTTTTATTCCAAAAACACGGTTAAGTTTTTTTTTCTACGTTTGCACTGTGTGCTGCAGGATTTTTTTTATTACCGCGCACACTGACCACCACAAGACCATTCTTTCTATGTAGCCTAACATCTTTCTCCACTAGATTTGGAGGGCACTAGAAATTAGGGCGTACTAGTACGTGGACCCCGCATAACGGTTTGCCTCCAAAATGCGACCAATTATGTAGTGTATTTTGTACTGTGCATTTGTACGTGTTGTTTGGGGGTCTGAAATGGACTAATCTACTTCACATATTCCTTATGGGAATAAATTCGCGTCAGTATGGCACCTGAACATTACTTATTGAGTGAAAAAAATATCGTTTACCGGGGGTTCCACTGTACATCAAAAACCTGGGTCGCAGCGTACTTGTATGGCCGAAACCCTCAAAGGTTAAACTCATGGAATGGGTAAATTTGTATTATTTTTATGTTTCTATTTTATTGGGAATATTAAGCAGTTATATCTTTTATATAAATTATGGGGCATCTAGGAGTTCCCAAATTGTTTATAAAATGTTGGTAGAAGTTACTTTTTCATTCCAGGCACAATAACATATTTTAGATTTTTGAGGAGTAGTTGCAGTTTATGGAATAGGTGGTAAGTTACTACATGCTGTAGGTTTTTTTGACGGGATAGTGAGGCTCAGGTTAGTGTGTTAGAAGAGAGGGAGACTACTTCGGTAAAAAGTAGGTCTTAGCCCGGGATGTGTAACTGTCACCTTGGTTGTTTAATATATTTATAGATGGGTTAATAGAAGTGATTAATCAGAGGGGCCAAAGAGGGGTTGTGAGTTGGTTTGGTCATTATGAGGAATGGATCAAAGTAGAATGAACATGGAGAGAGTATAAAATCTGTTGGAAGGAAGGCGGGTAGGGGTCGTCCTCGAAAAGGTTGGAAGGAAGGGGTAAGGGAGGTTTTGTGGGCAAGGGGCTTGGACTTCCAGCAGGCATGCATGAGCGTGTTCGATAGGAGTGATTGGAGACAAATGGTATTTGGGACCTGACGATCTGTTTGATTGTGAGCAGGGTAATATTAAGTGAAGGGATTCAGGGAAACCGGTTATTTTATATAACCGGGCTTGAGTCCTGGAAATGGGAAGTACAATGCCTGCACTGTAAAGGAGGGGTTTGGGATATTGGCAGTTTGGAGAGATACATTGTGTATTTTTATACGTATATACTTCTAAACGGTTGTATTCTGGGCACCTCTGCAAAAACAGTGATTATGTGTGAGTGTGGTGAAAGTGTTGAATGATGATGAAAGTATTTTCTTTTTAGGGATTTTCTTTCTCTTTGGGTCACCCTGTCTCGTTGGGAGACGGCCGACTTGTTAAAACAAAAAAAAAAAATGGCAAGTACAGTATTTACTACATGTATGTTTGCTAAGGTACCCGCAGACCCACCTGGAATATGTGTTGCCTCATCCCAACCAAAACTCACCTTTCAGAAGTGGGGGGGGGGGAAGGGGGTTGCACATGTGCGTGCACACACTCAAGCTCACCTGTTTGTGATTTGCAGGGGTCAGGTCCCAGATCCTGACCCTGCCTTTTAACTTGCCATTTCCTATATTCACTCCCTTGTGGGCCCTGTCATACATATTTTTAAAACTGCGTATGGAGCTTGCCTCCACCATTTCGTTATCAAGGTCATTCCACTTCCTGAAAATCCTGAAGTTTAAATAGTACTGCCTGACATCCCTGTGACTCGTCTATGCCTTCAGCTTCCAACTTTGCCCTTGTGTACCTATTTTCTGCCTCTCAAACAGTTTATCCCAATCTTCCCCATCAATTCCTCTGAATATTTTTCAAGTTATCATATCTTTCCTTGTTCTTCTGTTCTTTAATATCACCAGGTATAGTTTCTTTAGCTTCTCCTCGTAGCTCATTTGCCTTAGCTTTGGAACAAGTCTTGTTACATATCTCTGCAGTTTCTACAGTTTCTTAACATTCTCTCTTACCTGGTGTGGGTGCCATGCTGGTGCTACATACTCCAAGAGGAGCCTGATATGTGTTGTCTAAAGGGTGTTGAATGACTGTTCAGATTCATGAAGGCTAATCAGCCTGCTGGTTACAAAAATATAAGAAAAGGCATGGCATTAAATATTTAAAGATTAGTGGTAATAAAATTGCTGATCATGAAGCAGCAAAGAAATTCATTGATGTGTTTGCCAAGATTGAATATCTAACAGCAGAACAGCAGCAGAGGTTATTTGGTTGATGTATATTTCTGATAATATGTTTGGCACTAGGCTCACTCCAAGGTCTTTCTCCTTGAGTCAAGTCTGCAGTCTCTATCCAAGTCTATACTCAGTTTCCAGTCTTCTTGTTCCCTCCCCAGTTTTCATAGCCTTTCACTTGATAGGGTTGAATTTAAGTATATAACAACTTGTCTGACCATTCTTGCAATCACTTTGGGGCTATTTGTAGTCTTTCCTTGTCCTCAGCAGGTTTTATTCTCATTAATTCTACAGCAGTATCATTCTGGTATGTCATTCACATATAATAGAAACTACTGATCCTAATAGTAATCATAAAAGAACCCACTTGTTACCCTTTCCCATCATGACATCTCCCTCGGGCAATCACACTTTCTCCTTTCCATTAGGTACTTTGTTTGTGGTTATAGGAAAGTGGGTGCGGGAGGGAAGAGGAGCGATTGGTGGAATGATGATGTAAAGAGAGTAGTAAGGGAGAAAAAGTTAGCATATGAGAAGTTTTTACAAAGTAGAAGTGATGCAAGGAGGGAAGAGTATATGGAGAAAAGAGAGAGGTTAAGAGAGTGGTGAAGCAGTGTAAAAAGAGAGCAAATGAGAGAGTGTGTGAGATGTTATCAACAAATTTTGTTGAAAATAAGAAAAAGTTTTGGAGTGAGATTGTAACAAGTTAAGGAGTGCCTATGAGAACAAAGATGGATTTTGTCTCATTTAAAATAGGAGAGGAGAGTATTAAATGAAGAGTTAGAGTGTATTGGGAAGATGGAGGGAATAGTTGAGGAATTGTTAAATGTTGATGAAGATAGGAAGCTGTGATTTAATTGTATAGGGAGGCAAGGTAGGAATAACCATCTTGTAGGAGTGAGGGAAAGAGCCAGTGGTGAGTGTGGGGGAAGTTTGTGAGAGGTAGTAGGTAGAATGAAAGGGGGATAAGGCAGCGGGATGGATGGGATAAAGATAGAAATGTTATAAGCCCCCAGGTGGGGATATAGTTTTAGGGATCTAGTGGTTGGTGCTAATTATTTTATAATGTATGGAAGAGGGTTATGGTACCTAGGGATGGCAGAGAGCATGCATAGTTTCCTTTGTATTAAAGGCACAAAGGGGGGACAAAAGAGAGTGCAAAAATTGTAGGGGGATTAAGTCTGTTGAGCGTATACTCCTGTTGTAAAGTGTATGGTAGTGTTTTATGAAAGAATAAGTGTAAGACGGGAGATAGGTAGAGATGAACTAGGAGGCTTTAGGAAAGGTAGGGGGAGTGGGGATCCAGGTGTTTACAGTGAAGAACAGTTTTGAAGTGTTGAACAGTATTTAGATTGGGCTAAAGAGGTTTTTGTGGCTTTTATGGATTTGGAAAAAGGCATTATGACAGGGTGGATAGGGGGGGCAATGTGGCAGATGTTGAGGTGTATGTTGTAGGAGGTAGGTTAAAAAGCCAGTGAAGAGTTTTAAGAGGATAGTGAGGCTCAAGTTAGAGTATGTAGGAAAGAGGGAGATTATTGTCCCAGTATAAGTAGGCCTTAGGACAAGGATGGGTGATGTCACCGTGGTTTATATATTTAAGTTGGGTTGTAAGAGAAGTAAATGCGAGGGTCTTGACAAGAGGCGTGGAGTTAAGAAAGATAAAGAATCATCACAAAAAATGGAGTTGTCAAGTGTTGCGTCTTTGCTGAAGACTCTGTGCGCTCTTGGGAGATTCTGAAGAGAAGTTGCACAGAGTGTTGGTGGATGAATTTGGTAGGGTATGTATGCAAAGAGGAAAATTAAAAGTGATTACAGGAAAGAGTAAGGTTATGAGGATAACAAAAAGTTAGTGATGAAAGATTGGATATCAGATTGGAGGGATGAGAGTATGGAGGAGGTTGGGAATGTATTCAGATATTTGGGAGTGGAGTGTCAGCGGATGGTCTATGAAAGATGAGGTGAATATAGATTTGATGAGGGGAAAAGGTTGTGAGCGGTGCACTTAGGAGTCTGTTGGAGACAATGTGACTTTGCCTTGGAGGCAAGAGGGGATATGTTGGAGGTGTATAGTTTTACAACGCTCTTAATATGGATGTGAAGCATGGGTGATGAATGTTGCAATGAGGAGAAGGTGGAGGCAGTGGAGGATGTCATGTCTGAGGGCAATGTGTGGTGTGTTGAATATAATGTAGAGAATTCGTAGTTTGGAGTTAGGTGGGGAGGTGAGGAAGGGTTGTTGAGGTGGTTCAGGACATGTAGAGAGAATGGAGCGAAACAGGTGACTTCAAGAGTGTATCAGTCTGTAGTGGAAGGAGGGCGGGTAGGGGTCGGCCTAGGAAAGGGTTGGAGGGAAGGGGGCAAAGGAGGTTTTGTGTGCGAGGGCTATGGACTTCCAGGGGCACTGGTGAGCGTGTTTGATAGGATGGTGTATGGAAGACAAATGGTTTGTAATACTTGTTGTGCTGTTGAGTGTGAGCAAAGTAACATTTTGAAGGGATTCAGGGAGGAGGAAACCGGCAGGCAGGACTTGAGTCCTGGGTAGATGGAAAGTACGTGCTTGCCCACTTGAAGGAGGGGTGTTAATGTTGCTTTTGTAAAAACTGTAGTGTAAGCACCCTTCTGGCAAGACAGTGATGGAGTGAATGATGGTGAAAGTTTTTCTTTTTCGGGCCACCCTGCCTTGGTGGGAATCGGCCAGTGTGTTAATAAATAAATAAATAAAAACTTTGCGATCTGTTGTAGCACATTCCCTGTTAAACCTACTTCCTCCTAAAGTTTCTTCCCCAGTCTTTTATGAGGTACTGTATCAGATACCTTCTTGCCATCCAAGAATATTTAGTCCACCCATTCCTCTTTTTGCCTCACTTCTGTTACTGTATCAAAAAAACTCCAACAGATTTGTTACAAAAGATTTGCTATCACTAAATCCATTCTGGTTATTGTTTAAGAAACTACTACTTTCCAAATGGTGAACCGCACTCTTTTGATTACTGTCTGTAGACTTTCCTTAGTATACACCATCAGCAATACTGGGATCCTGTAGTTCAGTGCTTTCTGTCTGTCTCCTTTCTTAAATATTGAGACTTCATTCAGTATCTTCCAGAATCGTTCATTCATTTATTTCTTCATTCTTTTATTTATTCATTCATTCATTCATTTATTCATTAGTTATTTATTTATTCATATATTTTCTCTCTTTCCCCCTTCCCCTTCGGCTGTTCACTCCTGTTGTAGGCTTTCTCTGGCGGTCCTGTACAACGATTCTTTTGTTAGGCACTGGGCTGGTAGTGTTGTCACCAATCTGGTAAATTGCTTTTCTCTACAGCTGGACCAAGGCCTGTGTGACTAGCTCCCTGGGATTCCACAAAAAATTACTCAGCTGCCTCCTCCGTTACTGGGTTCTGCTAATATGGCTGGTGGAGTGGAGGCAGATTATACTGAATGAAATAGTTCTTAATAGTACCTGTAGGGTGTAAAGAAGTGAATAATGGAATGAAAATTTTAATGAATAACAGAAACAGTGATTTTCAAAATGTTGTGCTGCATTATTGCTTTACTTTGTTTCAGCATGACAGTGACAAGAGCCCCGATCTTGGGGTTAACAGACACAATATTGCCCAAGGAATTTCCCCAACACCCATTGCTGCTCGGGAGAGTCACATCAGACACCAGATGGCACTTCGTGAGGATTCCTATACAGATATTCAGAATTTTACGTATGTATAGTGTCCTATTTTTTCTTTTTATTCTTTTATTGTAATTCATTTTTAGATATAAAAATTTGAACAGATTTTTTAGTTGATTCAGAATTTTTTATTCACAAATGCATTTCTGTATTGTACATGTTTACTACAGTATAGTACCATCAAGTGATTAACTGAATGTCACAGTTGGATAACATGAGTGGAAATTGGAATTTTATTTTGGCTAGTTTGGTAGATCATGTCATGTTGAACATTTCCATACCGTACATCAAGAAATCCTAGGTAGTACGTTGGTAGACAGCAACCGCCCAGGGAGATACTACCATCCTGCCAAGTGAGTGTAAAACAGAAACCTGTGATTGTTTTACATGATGGTAGGATTGCTGGTGTCTTTATTCTGTCTCATAAACATGCAAGATTTTAGGTACGTCTTGCTACTTCTACTTACACTTAAGTCACACTACACATACATGTACAAGCATATATATATACACACCTCACTGGGTTATCTCTTTTCTTTCTAGTTCTTGTTGTGGCTATGTTTATTTCCTCTTATCTCCTTGGGGGAAGTGGAACAGGAATTCATCCTCCTGATAAACCATGCGTGTTGTAAGAGGCGACTAAAAAATGCTGGAGCAAGGGCCTAGTAACCCCTTCTCCTGTATAAATTACTAAATTTAAAAAGAGTAACTTCTTTTTTCTTTTTGGGCCACCCTTCCTTGGTGGGGATGCGGCTGGTTTGTGGTTGAAAAAAAAAATGTATATCACACCACCCCTCTAGGTTTTTTCTATTTTCTTACTAGTTCTTGTTTATTTCCTCTTTTCTCCATGTGGAAGTGGAACAATATTCTTCCTCCGTAAGCCATGCGTGTCGTAAAAGGTGACTAAAATGCCGGAAGCAAGGGGCTATTAACCCCTTTCTCCTGTGTACATTATTAAAGTTAAAAAGAGAAACTATTGTTTTTTCTTTTTTGGGCCACCCTGCCTCTGGGGGATATAGCCAGTTTGTTGAAAGAAGAAGACATCATGAAATAAAAATTTCTAGGCAAAAATTAGACCAAATAGAAAGAATATCACCAAATTATTTATTATTATTATCACACTGGCTGATTCCCACCAAGGCAGGGTGGCCCGAAAAAGTAAAACTTTCACCATCATTCACTCCATCACTGTCTTGCCAGAAGGGTGCTTTACTCTACAGTTTTTAAACTGCAACTTTACTCCCCTCCTTCAGGAGTGCAGGCAATTGTACTTCCCATCTCCAGGACTCAAGTCCAGCCTGCCGGTTTCCCTGAACCCCTTTATAATGTTACTTTGCTCACACTCAACTGCACGTAAGTATATTAAAAACATTTGTCTCCATTCACTCCTAATCAAACACGTCACGCATGCACTGCTGGAAGTGCAAGCCCTCGCACACAAAACCCTTTACCCCCTCCTCCAACCTGTCCTAGGGCAACCCTACCCCGCCTTCTTCCATACGAGGATACATCTCTTGAAGTCACTCTGTTTCGTCCAGTCTCTCTACATGTCCAAACCACCTCAACAACCCTTCTCAGCCCTTGGACAAAGTTTTGGTAATCCCGCACTCCTCCTAACTTCCAAACTACGAATCTCTGCATTTATTCACACCACACATTGCCCTCATGACATGACATCGCACACTGCCTACAGCACTTCTCCTCGATGCACCATTCATCACCCATGCTTGACACCATATATGAGGTGGTAAAACTATAATCTTCTTACATTCCTCTCTGCCTCAAGGACATAGTTCCTGTCTCCACGGACTCCTAGTGCACACTCACCTTTTCCCATCATTAAATTTCTATGATTCACCTCATCTTTCATAGACCCATCGCTTGGACACGTCCAAATAGATTGTAAATCTTTCAGAACATCTCATCCATAGGTATTGTACATAAGTACAGTGGAACCTCTGCTTACGAGTGCATCCACGTGCGAGTTTTTCCAGATACGAGCAGTGCTCAGTCGATTTTTGCTTTCATGACTCGAGCTAAAATTTCCAATTGCGAGCGGGGCCTATAGGGAGGTAAATTGACACTGGTGAGGGGGCTCTTGCTCTTGATGTAGAGAATTGGTTCTCAGTTGTTTGTTAGACTATCTTATTGAAACTTGGGCGATGTATGATGAAAAGATGCTTCTTAACGTACATCAAAAGTGAAAGAAGTCAGACCATAAATAACGGAAGTTCACTTTCTCTCAGCCATTAGGCATCCCCTTAGCGGTATATTTTTGTATAGTTTTGATGGCTGTATTCCATTTTTTTGGTCTCATGTTGTAGAATGGAAGATATATACTATAATAAATTGATTTAATTGGTTTCACGATTGAAAGTACTTGAAAATTGAGCTCAAAATGCAAAAAATGTTCGATTCTTTGGCGACATAGTGGTAGACATCATGATGTAGCAGTGCCAGACAAATGAAGCAATGCAGTGGCAGACAACGATGAAGCAGCATGCAAAGTGTTCGTAGCATTAAAGTGTAGAAATTTAAGTGTTGCATCAAGAGTGTAAGCACTTATAAATCACACTCTCTGACTTTTTTGGGTTTCCTTAGGTTCTCTACACATGTAGTCGGAGCAGGGAAGGGCCACTGTGGTAGGCCATAAGGCTTGTTGACAACCACCACTAGCCACATAGCCTAATGACTTTATTTTTTTCCAAATTCTAGTGTATATATCATATTTCTTGTTATTAAAATTGTTTTTTTTTTTTTTTTTATTATCACACCGGCCGATTCCCACCAAGCAGGGTGGCCGAAAAAGAAAAACTTTCACCTCACTCACTCCATTCACTGTCTTCCAGAAGGAGTGATTTAACACTACAGTTTTTAAACTGCAACATTAACACCCCTCCTTCAGGAGTGCAGGCACTGTACTTTCCCATCTCCAGGACTCAAGTCCGGCCTGCCGGTTTCCCTGTATCCTTCATAAATGGTACTTTGCTCACACTCCAACAGCACGTCAAGTATAAAATCCATTTGTTCCCCATTCACTCTATCAAACACTGCTCACGCATGCCTGCTGGAAGTCCAAGCCCCTCGCACACAAAACCTCCTTTACCCTCCCTCCAACCCTTCCTAGGTCGACCCCTAACCCACGCCTTCCTTACCACTCAGACTGATACATCTTGAAGTCATTCTGTTGCGCTCCATTCTCTCTACATGTCCGAACCACCTCACAACCTTCCTCAGGCCCTCTGGACAAACAGTTTTGGTAAATCTCCCGCACCTCCTCCTTAACTTCACAAACTACGAATTCTCTGCATTATATTCAACCAACACATTGCCCTCAGACATGACATCTCCACTGCCTACAGCCTTCTCCTCGCTGGCAACATCATCACCCACGCTTCACACCCATATAAGAGCGTTGGTAAAAATATTACTCTCATACATTCCCCTCTTTGCCTTCCAAGGACAAAGTTCTTTGTCTCCAAGACTCCTAAGTGCACCACTCACTTTTTTCCTCACAATTTTAGATTCCTCCCTCATCTTTCATAGACCCATCGCTGACACGTCCACTTCCCAAATTTTCTGGAATACGTATCACCTCCTCCAATACTCTCTCCCTCCATTCTGATATTCAATCTTTCATCACCTAATCTTTTTGTTATCCTCAGAACCTTACTCTTTCCTGTATTCAGCTTTAATTTTCTTCTTTTGCACACCCTACCAAATTCATCCACCAATCTCTGAACTTCTCTTCAGAATCTCCAAGGAGCACAGTGCATCGGCAAAGGCAGCTGTGACAACTCCCACTTTGTGTGTGATTCTTTATCTTTTAAATCCAAGCCTCTTGCCCAAGACCATCGGCATTCCTTCTCTTACAACCCATCTATAAATATATTAAACAACCACGGTTGACATCAACATCCTTGTTCTAAGGCCCCTACTTTACTGGGAAAAAATTTCCCTCTTTCGCCTACATACTCTAACTTTGAGCTCACTATCCTCGTAATAACTCTTTCACTGCTTTCAGTAACCTACCTCCTAACACCATCACTTGCAAACATCTGCCTACATTGCCCCCATATCACCCTGTTCATACGCCCTTTTCCAAATCATAAATACCACAAGACTCTTTAGCCTTATCTAAATACTGTTCACTTATATGTTTCACTGTAAACACCTCGGTCCTCACACCCCCTACCTTTCCTAAAGCCCTCCTTGTTCATCTGCTATCCATTCTCCGTCTTACTCTTAATTTCTTTCAATTATAACTCTTACCATACACTTTACCAGGTACACTTAACAGACTTATCCCCTATAATTTTGCAATCTCTTTTATCCCCTTGCTTGCCTCTATACAAAGGGAACTATGGCCTTGCTTCTCTGCCAATCACTAGGTACCTTACCCTCTTCCATACATTTATTAAATAATAGCACCAACCACTCCAAAACTTATCCCCACCTGCTTTTAACATTTCTATCTTTATCCCATCAATCCCGGCTGCCTTACCCCTTTCATTTTTCTACTGCCTCACGAATTCCCCCACACTCACAAACTGGCTCTTCCTCTCTCCGACAAGATGTTATTCCCTCCTTGCCCGATACACGAAATCACAGCTTCCCTATCTTCATCAACAATTAACAATTCCTCAAAAATATTCCTTCCCATTTCCCAATACCTCTACCTCTCCATTTAATACTTCTCTCCTATTTTAATGACAATCATTGGTTCTCTAGGCTTTCTTAACTTGTTAATCTCACTCCAAAAACTTTTTCTTTATTTTCAACAAAAATTTGTTGATAACATCTTCACCCCACTCTTCTCATTTGCTACTCTTTTTACATTGCTTCACCCACGCTCTTACTTCTCTCTTTTTCTCCTTTACTCTTCCCTCCTTGCTTCACTTCTACTTTGTAAAAACTTTCTATATGTAACTTTTTCTCCCTTATACTTCTTTAACACATCATTCCACCAATCGCTCCTCTTCCCTCCTGCACCCCTTTCTCTGTAACCACAAACTTCGGCTGAACACTCTA